CTCGTTATGGAATAAGATCAAGCTTGTAGGAACCTGGTCTTGCTGAGAGCTAATCATTATTTATATTTAGTTAAGCGTGAGCTGAAAGAATTAATATTTTTACATACAATTATTCATGGGAAAAGAACTTGTTCAAAAAAATAATTCGAAATCAAATGAAAGATGTTCATTGTCGAGTTTTCGCTGATTTTGCTTATATATATATATATATATTATATGTATTTAATAGAGTTTCAAGATTAGAAAAAAAAATACCAATTTATTTACCTAAAAATACCATTTTTTGCTGATCATTTTTAAATATTGTATTAATTGTTGATGAATTTTGTTGCTGTTGTTGCTGTATATTTGCTTGTTGTTGTTGTTGTTGTCCAATTGTTGTTATAAGATATCTAGCAACATGAGTAAAATCATGTATAACATAACCTAATTTATCTAATAAAACTCTTGAATCACTATCAGTAACATGAATACATTGTTTTGGTGGTTGTAAATCAATAGGTAATTTTGTTCCTGATTCATATATATATAAAATGTTATTTAAACTAATATATTTATATTGTTGTTGACTTAAATCTGTATTTAAATAAGCATTATCAAATATAGGTAATTGTTTAATACATTGAATATTTAAATCATCTAATTGTTGTGTCATGATACGTGATAAATATTGTCGTAATAATTTAATATCATGTTCATTTAATAATGTATTAAATTCATGTTGAATTTTTAATTGTGTAAAATGTCTTAAACGACATTTAAATATTTGTAATAAACCTAAACATGATAGTTGTGGTACATATTCATCAATACATTTATGTCGACGAATTATTTCAGGAAATGGTTCAATACAATAAAAATTTAATTTTAATAAAATTTTTTGTATAGCTAAATCATCTTTACTTGGAACAATAGGTAATTGTATAAGACCAATATTTTTTGATAATTTATATAATGATATTGTATTATTAGCTGCTGATACACCTAATGGACGTGACAATGGTTGTAAATAAAGTATATTTGTATTTTCAAGCATAGATAAATCATTTGGAAATTTTTCATTAATATATTTCCAAAGATTTTCAAGCCATTCAATATTATAATAATCATGATTTCTAGGCCATTGTATACAATCATCACCACGACGCCATTCACGTGGTAGCATAACTAAATCAGCAAAATCTTTTGCTGGCATTGATTGAAGTTGTGTACGATCTATGATGAAGGTGAACAAAACAAGAAAAAAAGTGTATATATATATATATTATTGATGCTTATGAATAATTGTTTGATTCTATTCGAATGTCAAAATAAATCTGATCAAGTATTCTAAGTTTTTTTCCTCTTCATGTCTAATCTCTATGCAAATTTTATTGATCTATCGAATAAAAAGACAAAAAAATACTGTAATATATATTTATATATATAAAACACTTTTTTTTTTCGTTATTCTCTAATAGTCATATCAAAAAAAAAGCAACAGCAGATGTCTATTCATCTATTTTTTGTGTTTGTATTTAGTTGGTCGTCAAAATGTATGGCAAGTTAATTCATTAGCATACTCGATTAATCAGTAAATGTCAACAACAACTCTCGTTCTACATTTATTTATATATCGATAAATATATATTCGTCTATGTAATGTCGGTTCTCTAATCCTAATAGTGGTCGTTCTATGTCTATCTTTATTTAATATAGAAAAAAAAGAATAAGAACTTCGATGTATCTGTCTCCCTTCTTATGTCTTTAACATTTTTTTCGATAAACAATGAAATTATGATAGTAGCAGTTGCTTATACAGTAAAAAATTGTTAATCAGAGATCAAGATGGAATAGTGTCCGTTTTCATGATTGAAATAAGATCTTTCACTTTTTGTTTTTTTTTTTTTTTTTATAAAAAGAATACATAGCAACAAGGAATTTGATTCATTACCAATTGAATGATTTAAAAAAACTGGATTCGAAAATTCTAATAAAACAATTTTTTATCAATGAATTCTATACATTAAATCTCACATAAATTATGGATTAAGTCTCCGATCGACAAGGTCTAATAATACATCGCCTTGATTGAACGGTAAAAAAAAAAAAGAAACCTAAAAATTTGTATGCTTAACAACCTACATACACACGTTACTTGTCACGCTCGTACATATTCTGGTGTCCTTCTCGGCAATAAAAGGCCTGCTTACTCGTTCATTCACTCTTCGTCAAAAGAAGAAAAAGAAAGCACTTAGACACTTATATGTGTGCGGTTTTGTAGCTTGAGATTTGATCAACGTTTTCATCGTCCTCGTCTGAACACAATAGAAACAAAAAAGAAAAAAAACCTAAGAAGCTTAAAGATTGACAGTGATATGTGTACACATGTTTAAGCAATCGTTAATGACTGTTTTTGTTCGATAAAGATACTTTTTTTTTTCAAGAACAAGGTCCTTATAAATATCTATATAAATATTCGTTCTAAAACATATCTTATTATGATTTATTGATTAATAATCAGGAAAAAAAATAGTCTATCTTTTGTTTGTAAACCTTGTCACAACATAATGTGAACAATCAGGTTTTTTTTTTGTTGTTACATTTACCAAGGATGACTGACAGGTTTTTTTTTCAACTGACATTTGCTTAACACATATATTTGTATATACATATTGCATATCGATGAAGCAATATAAGAATGTCGAAAAATTCCGAAGCCTAAAGATTCACTACTATACTATACATGTTCAAGTACAATTTGTTCTTTTTTTTGTCTAACAAAGAAATTCAATCCGTTAGGAAGGCTAAAGATTATTACACATATATATATATATATATATATATATATTTATATATACATATGTAGATCCTCTTCGTGCTGTTTGCTCTAGTAAATAATCAAATCTATGTATGTTGGCATGCCGAGAAAAGGAAAAAAAAGTCAGAGAAGTGTTGCACAATTTTTCTACGTGCATCCAATTAGAAGAAGAAATAAACGGCACAACTGTTCAAGATACACGCACCCTCATCCTGTTGCATCGGTACTGATGTTGGTGTCGGTGTTCTCGTAGCAATATTCCGTGACGAATGATAAATAGTTGGCGTTGGAGTAAGATCCCATGTAGAAAGAAAACGTGGTCGATGTTGTTGTAATGGACCCAAATATGATGAAGATAATACTGGTGATGGACTATGAATACGTTGTTGATGATGAGGAGGAAATATGGGTGAAACTCGATGAAAATAACGACTGGATGTTGGAGTTAAACGATTTCCACTATTTATAAGATTTGGATTATTGTTATTATTGTTATTATTAGTATTTGATATTTGGTCATAACGATTTGGTATATTTGCTGAAAAACGATATCTTGAGTCCATTTTTATCTATGTTTGAGCACACAATATGTGCGGCGTAGTTTTATTTCAGGCTAGACAATGAATGTAATCATCATCCTCAATCTTCACTTTCTTCTCTTCTTTGTTCGTCGTCCGCGTGATGAAGAAGAGGAGTAGTAGGAGAGTGACGGCGCATGTACAGGGACGTCATCATAAAAAATCTGTACGTATATGCATAAGAGGAAAGAGAGAGAATATGTATGCAAACGCAATTGATGTGGGTGATGAGAGGGAGGACCAGTAAGGGTAAGAGAAAAGAGAGAGACAGAGCAAAAAAAGAAAAGAAAAGAATAGTAATATGTATATATGAGTAAGAAGAAGAAGAAGAAGAAGAAGAAGAAGAAGAAGAGTAATACCATCACATTCTTTCTCTTTTTTCTATGTATTTACTATTCTTGTGGTGATGTTAACATTGCACCGGTATGACAAAACTGTCTAATGTCATCACATAATGAAGTTATTATAAGATGATAGTGATTGAGATTTTTTTGCGTAATCTTTTGACATGCACATGTTTTATAAAGGTAAATGAAATAAAAGCAATTTACAAATGAATAAAAATGATGAAGCACTTAGAAATTAAAAGAAATAATTGAATTATTCATTAGATTCTTATTTATATATTGATCTCAGAAAAAGAAAAAGATTATAAAAGAAAAACTTTCTATGTCACAAGGATGAAAAAAAGATAGTAAACAATTTTTATAGATATTAATGTATTGCTGTTTTTCTTTCTGTTTCTATACATTATAGAATAACCTTCAATAAGACACAAAACATTCTTGAACTGTGTTTATATAAAATAAGACAAATTAGTTTGTATGTCTACTGATTACCTTGAGACTAGTTCATTACTTTATTTAATAGACGATAACTCTCAATCAAGGTATACACTATCATTATTAAAACATAACCGTAACGAATGAATGAGCATCTATGTTGGTAATAATTGCCTTGTCTGATACATCAATGAACAAGTTCGAAATGTTAATTTCAACAGAATACATTTCATTATTTATTAATAATGAAATATTTCGATGTGGTAATATTCCTTTTCGTTTTTGTTCAACATTATTTTGAATAATCAAAAAAAAAAAACTTTTTTTTTCTCTCAAAAGTTTCTATGTGTAGACATTCCAGAACACGAATGGATTAGTACATTTCGTCAAGAAATTAGTGAAACGTATCAAGACAATTTATTATATATATGATCTCATCTCTTGCTCTAATATTTGACCTAGTTTTATGGACAAAACTATTTAAAATATAATGAAAATAACCAGATACTTGGAATATATGTAATTACATAAGACTATTTCTATATTCAGTTTTCTCTTTTCTTTCAATTATTTCTGCCTTGATTTTTCAAGTTCACTTTACTAACATACAAAATGCATCACTTGAAATGCATTGACGTATAGATCATTTTCTATTATCAATTTGCATACGATCAAATTTAACAAAAAAAAAAAAAAAAAAAGAAAAAAAATCCAGTAAGAATGATTAAATATTAGTATGTACACATTAGAATGATGCATGCTTTGTTGTTGTATTCTGTTAAGACAAAAGCAAAAGAAAAAAAAACGTGACTCGTTGAAACTATTTCTAACTATAGACACTCAAGGATATGTATGTTGTTTAGAAAAGTATTTACCCGTTTGCATTATCGGCATGTCGACTATCTGTTTTGCAACTAATATCTCCGCCTTATCTGTTTTTTTTTCTGTACTATTTCCTATAAAGAGATAAATATACAAAGCAGACAAGCGATACATTATCGTACCGATATTATTTAGCGGTTGTTGCTGCTCTTCAAGTAGTTGTTCATGATTGTTTATTGACGGTTGTTGTACAATAGTTTTAACCAGATCAAGATCAAGTGATATTGGTCGTTTAACTTGTTTTTTAAGCCACCCACGACCAATACACATAGGTACTGGCGTTTGTTGTGTATTTACATTGATTTGTGATTTATAATGTTGAGATTCTTTTGAAACATTTTTCGTATTATTGGTTGCAGTGGATGTTTTATTTCGAAATATCGACAAATTTTTTGATGACAGAAAATTACTGAAGAATGTATTACGTTTTTTTGATGGATTTGTAGGGCCAGAGGCTGATGCCATTGACGAGTGAAAGAAAAAAAGTGAAAGAACAAGAAGGCGGACTCTTTGAGTCTATTCACTATAATACAATCTTAGCAAAGGGATCTTTTCTCTTGCTCCTTTTGACAAGTATACATACATATCGTTTCTTTCTCTTATCGTCCTGTTGTACACTATGGGTTTTTTTCTCTTCTTCGAATCATTCTCATTTCTTTTTTTTTTCTTTCTTTTTTTCATATTGCTTTATCAGAACACCTGAATATTTGCATATAACTGATGTATAACAAAAAAAAACGAAAGTACTAGACAAGAAGCAAAATATGCCCAATGACATTTGGAAAATGTGTCCGGTTATTGTGAAATAAAAACCTTTCAATGTCATATGATTAGAATAGATCTATTGAACACATATGGTTATAATTACAGTCATAAATCTTATATCAAAATGTGAATATCACAAGAAAAAGAAAAGTTATATTCATTGTCAAATCTTTATCATACAAATAACAGTTAACAACAATATAAGAAAAAAAAAGAAATTAGGTAGAATTTAAGATGAATAATCTTTTCGGTAGTTTTGAATTGGTATTTATGACTTTATATTGACATATACTTATCAAGTGTTCTGTTGTTATCTTATACTTTCGAACATGTCTCTATGAATAATATCATATAAATGAATAGCATAGAATCATTAGATGCCTACGACATTCTTTAACAAATTTTATTACAGTCATTAGAATTCTTCTATGCGATAACAAAAAAAAACAACAAACATAGATACTCATTATTATACTTATCAAAAACTTAAGAATTTCTTGTGCATTATGTTTTGTTAGGTTTCAAAAAGAATTGAACTTGTCGATAATACGTAATAGTTGATCGAAATCTTTCTACGTTTGTTTTCTTTTTCAACTCCTCCCTTTAGTTTATACAATACTGCAATTGACAGGTCACCAACCTAATCTTGATTGATATATTCATATAAATTCATACATTCATTCAATGCTCCACCTATACCGACTCTAATTACAGAGTTCGATTTTTGTACAGTTGCTTACTTAGTTCTCTCGTTTTTATTTGGTCACAAAAAAAAAAAATATTCAACATAAAGTTACATCATGCTTTTCGCTTGTTAATCGGTATATATATATGTATGTACAAAGTATCCGTCTTTTTTTTGATACAATGAAGGTCCTATGCACATTTAATTTAGTCTTTTTTTTCCAATTTTTATGTACTAATATGTGTCATATTCAATTAGAATGAATATACACAGACAATGTCAAATGAATGAGGAAAAATAATAAGGAGAAAATTCTTCACAGTATTTTCAATTAATTAATGAATGTTAGTAAATAACTAATAAATTTAGAGATGAGCATATTACCTTTACATGTAAAGTGAAAAAGTAGCGGTTGAGAATGAATTTGTTCTTTGTAATGATGAACATTAGTTGGTAATGGACTATTTGTTTCAAGTTTATATATATGTGAAGTCCTTTTTGAAGGTGATGAAGGTTTTGTTGAACAATGTGTAGTATTACCCATTTAAATATAAATAATTTAAGAAGAAGAAGAAGAAGAAGACAAAAAGAAAGGAAAAATGAACGCTTTTATGTTATATCAACGTAGAATAGAAATTAAGCTTCTTTTTCTTCTTGTTCAATTTTGTTTTGTATTATTGTTTTTATTGGTATTGGTAGTGATAATCGTCTGTATATTCTTTTCTTCTTTGTCTACTTTGTTTTTTTTGCTTGGTCACGGATCAACATGGATAGATCAATTTTCAAAGGTATCCAATTTGACAATATATATCGAGATCTTACGAAAAAATTTTACACATAAATGTGTATGAATTCAACGTACACAAAAGAAAGTTGAAGAAAAGAAGTATCGCGACGTATACGTATTCAAGTGCTTACTAAAGCCACCAACCAACACCGGATGAGTAGAATTTTGAACTGCAATTGTTTTTAATATTGAGGAATTGCTGAGAGAATAACAGAGTAAGAGAGAAAGAGACACGGACGAAAGGAAAAAGAAGAAAAAAGAGACCAAAAAAAGAAAAATAATAATAATAGGTGACAAATCACACATAGAATGCCGACATAGTACAATATTTTCTGTATAGGGGTGTATACACGGGTATAAAGGATCGGATATATGATATCATCGTTATTGAGTGATGGAGAAAAGATTGATTTTTTATTCTCTCATACAATTCATGGATTTCTATCTAGCAAAGAGAGTTTGTGTTAGTCAATGTACGTGAACAGTTATAATCATTAAAAAAAACCATCCTTTTCTTAATCATTCGAGAATGAGAAAAAAAACTTGATAAAGTAAAGAAACGTCACGGTTTTTTTTTCTTTCTGTTTCAATCCTTTCTCTGTTTGAAATATGCTTCAATTACGCTAAAATATACGAAATGATCAAAATGTATGCATTAGTAATTAATTCATTGACCATGTAGACAGACGAACATTTAAGTACTATACATGAGTGAACGCATTTCACCTTGGCTTCACACGCTTTATGTTTTTTTGCTTCCAAACATACAAATGGCGATGACGATGATGATGATGATGATGATGATGATGATCAATTGAGTGTGTTTTATTAACCTTACTCAAAGACACATCACACTAGGATAAGATCGGAGAAGAAAAAACAAGAAACTTTTCACATAGACACTATTGACCTCTTTTCTTCGTTCTTTGAACATCAAAAAGATAGATAGACAGATAGACAGACAGACAGACATGCATCATTTCTAACTAACTATAATATGGCATCGATTTCTACGCAAATCTATTTTAACTGATCAATTATACTAGATGATTTATAAGAGAATTATTTCCTTATTATTCATAACAAGTCGATATATCGAGATTTACTTTCTTATTAGATATACACATCTGCAAGACGTGCGTATACACTAAATCCTAAGAAATAGCTAACAGTAACAAACAAGATATGTCATCATATTATTTATCTAACATATGAATAGAAAATGCTATCATAAACAAGTCCAATATAGATTTTTATAAAATTTTCTTTTATAAAATAAAAAGAAAGAAATATTTATATCAATGGACACATAAAGTCATCTTTTCATTATTTCATCTGTCAATATGTGAAACCATTCAATCTCCAGTAAATATATTAAGCTTCCCATTCATTATTTATTATTCATTATTACCTCGATCATAAGGTGATGGTGAAGCTGATATAGATCGACGACTATTGTCTGTTGGTTGCGTCGTTGATCCATAACGACCATAATAATTTGACCGATACATATGGAATTGAAAAAATTCCACACACACTTAGTTAGAAAAAAAAACGACTTTCTATTGCAACCAACACTAATGTCGTTGTCGTATGCGGTGCCAGTTGGGGGTCGTCGTTCGGTTTGTTGCACTGAGACATTCTCTTTTTTTTCTCCTCTATTCTATATTCTCTACTATTTTCTTTTCTCTTTTCTATAGATGGTCGTTGTTTAAACATATATATATAAAAAAAAAAAAGAATTACTCGTAATAATAAGTCGACAACAGAAAAAAAAAAGAAAAGAAGAAGGAAAATGTGCTACTCTCTGACGATCTTTTTCTTTCTTGGATAAAATCAAGACAATGGAAAGACAGAAAACTGTTAGGAAATTCTAGAGTAAAATACACAAGAAAAAAAAATGAAAAAAAAACCAATCATACCTTGAAAAATTTCTGATGATAAAATATCAAATAATTTTTTATCAATATTTGCATTTAAAAATTTATCATAATTTTTCTCTTGAAATAATTTTAAAAAATCTAAATTATGATCAACTATATAAATAGTTGATGCTTGTTTTCCTTGAAATGTTATAAATTGATTATTAGCTAATGGTAATAATTGTAATTCAAGTACAAGACCTGGATCAGGATCATTTAATATAATATATGTTAATAATGAAAGTTTTTGTTCATATGTCAAATGTGAAAATATTGATGAATTTTTTGCTAATAATTCTGATGCATGAAATGGTGTCATTACTTGTAAATAATGTTTATTAGAATATTTACATAAACCATTAATTACATGGGGCGGTAGAATAACAATAGGAGCATTAGCTTCAGAAAATACAAATGTAAGAACATCTTGTATTGGACCTGCTTTAACATTATTAATAATCATATCTTCTATAGCTACATAACCCCAACCATCAGTAACTGAATAGAATAGTTCTTGTTTACCTAAAAGATAAAAGAACCAAAAAAAAAATTGACTTTTCTAATTCAATGAAAGTTTATAAATTGAGTTAATTTTTCAATATACGAATGTTTAAAGTTTGACAAATAAATCAAGCAATAGATGAAATATTCAAAATAATTATTCAAATAATAATATTATTCTAATCAAAAGAGTTACGTTGATTAAAAAGTAATGTTACGGTCATGACTATATATAGATTTCTTTTTCCTTTTGCATCACTTATTTTCTAAGTTTGTTATGTAAAAGCTGTATATAATGATTTTTCTACTACTGTAAACGTATATAGTGTAATAGAACAATATTTACTACTACGTCTTATTAAGTGAATCTGTTCAAGTATAATACTCGACAAAAAAAACTAAAGAAATACATTTCAACGTTAAATCTTATTGTGAGAATATTAGTTCACAAAAAATAAATAATGTATTGATGACATCTAGAGACAATATAAAATCTATAGAAAATTATAAAAAGTCAAAAAATACAAGATTTTAACTATGAAACGAATTCATGTAAATTCAAATGATAAATATATCATTGAAAAGTCTTTAGCTACTCTATTAGGTCAATAGTGATTGTATATGATCTAGGAGTATTCATCGCAGTCGTGGCGGCAGCTTTGTTTCTTCAAGGACATTAAAAAAATGTATGAATTTGCACGAAATTTTAATATTCACAAATGTAACATTGTGAAAGTTGATGAGTCTCTTATGAATTAGTAACAGCAGTTAAATAGAAAACATTTTTTTGAACATCATTGCAACAGCAGTATACAAGCGTTTCTTTTCTATTGTCGCATCAGGTTTTTAACCACAATGAACATCTCTTATGTGATCACTTGATATTTAAATAATTGTTCTTCAAAATCTTATAACATGAAGTCATTAATTTACAGTAATGTCTCCAAATAAAATTTGTATGAAATTAGAATATAACGTGAAGAGTTCATAGTGATTGTTGGACGATACTTTCTTCTTTAACAAGAACTTATTACTTTCTCATTCGTTCTGATTAGTTTCAAATCAAATTATGACAATACTAATCTTTCGTCACAATCCCAACTAACAAGATGATCACAAAGATATAGAAATGTCATACATATAGTTTTCAGATGAAACGTTTCATTGACTTTTATTTACAAAACAATCATTTTAAACTACTGTTTATATGTGTAGAACACGGTTGCCGATGTGGGAGGGGCTTAAAAAAGCTCAGCAGGAAGTGCTTTCATTTTCCGAGTGCTAGAAGTGGCAACCGGAAGGTGAAGAGAAGAACGAAACACACCGTGACCCGACTCCTTTCATAACAAGCGACCTGCCATCGGATCGTCAGTCGGATGCAACTTTTTCTGGATCTGCGCCCGACTGATCAAACTTTTCCGGTTCGGCCAAACAGTACTTTGAGCTTCTCAATGAAAGTACATCCTGCAAATTTCTCAGACGATTATATAGTTCACCGAATCCAAAATTTTCAGATCCGAACTTGTGTCTGGAACCAATCCAACAGGTTCCAGTCTCTAATCGTATTCACCTTGTAACAATATTGTCTGCTTATTTTTATTTAACTATCCATCAGAGAACGGCAAAGCATGTTTCAAAATCTGGTTTCTGTTCAATGTTACCATAAAGCTGTAAAATAAATGACAGAAAGTCGAACATTTTGGGCGGGCAAGTCGCTCCTAATCAAGAATCCTGGCATAGAATAAAGTAGACAGATATTCTTGTTTTTGTACAACTGTAAGAAAAATATATAGAAAGATAACATTGTGAATGAATTCTTTTTTCTTTTCATCCGTTCGTATTCAATAATTGAATTTTAATGATTTAAATCTTACCAATTTCTGACCAAATATCTGGTATAAGATTATAAATAATTTTAAGATATTGTTCTTGTAAAGAATAATTTTGATTTTCATTAAGTAAACGTTGATATTCATCAATATCAGGCATTAATTGCCAAATAAGATCAATTGATAAATTTAATGTTGTTGTTGGATTTATTAATCTAGATAAATTTTTTAAAAATAAAGCGTATGCTTGAGGAAATTTTATTTGACGTAATTGTATACATAAATTATCTTGGCATAATGAATTTAATGATGGTATAATACAATAATAAAGTATTCGTGATGATGTTATTTGTATTGATTGATAGTTACGAGATATGTTTGATGACATGTATGTTTCTGATGACGATGAAAGAGGCATTAAAGGAAGTAAGAGTTTTAATTGTATTTCATGTTTATCATTTTCATTATAATCATTATAAATTGATAATAACCAACGAGTTACATT